TGACCCAACATGTGACCCAACATGTGACCCAACATTATCCTCATATGGACGCCTCTCAAGAGGCTCTTAAAAATCATTTTGGCAATAAACAGGCTGGGCACAAGAAAACAAAACCATAATTGAGTTGAGTTGAGTTGCGCTGTGGTTACTATGGTTTTTATGCCCAATTAAAAGTTAATCAGAAATGGGTCCTGCAGTGAGGAAAGTTTATGAATGTTTATATAATTAAAATTATTTTGTTGAAAGATCATCACATGGCTTTTCAGTGAAAGGCAATAATGTAAAAATTACATTCAAGTGTAGCGTTAAAGGATCTACGTATAGAGTTTTCGTTTGTTTGTTCGTTTGTTTTTGTTTGTTTCCTCCCATCCTCAACTTTTATTCTTCCGTGCAAAGCAATTATGCTACGATGACTAAGAATCGCAAAGTCATTTTCATTTACCTCCATAACTTGCAGCCGTTGCAGCCCGTAGTTTTCGTTTTTGTCTAAAAATAATAAGAAAGAAAAAAGCATTAGCATGAACTGTTGTAACAGTGTCAGATTGCAGCACTTTAAAAGAAAGATGGCTTTCTTAAGASATATACAAATTTTAATAGTGTTCTGAATCAATAAGCACGAAATAGGGAAAAATAATCAGCCAAATAAGCTGCACAGGTGGTCTTCTTATAAGTCGAACAACGTTTTATTTCGTTCATGTTATTACTATTTTTTTCCATAAAAGAGAAAGACATTTAAAGAAATACGTCTGAGATAAATAGTTTGTGTCAGGGTAAAGGATACACCACTAGGTTTTTACAGTGAACAGTAACATGACAGTATTAGTAACTCTGTGAGCAGCTTAAAACGAAGCAATTGTCAACCTAAGGAAACTGAAAAATTATGAAAACTCAACAACGTCACGAGTTCAACAAACCACTCCAAATAGGCATGTTGTTACAAAATAAAGTATTAATAAAATGGGCCTGCAATATATTGCAATTAAGCGGAATTTTCTATCTAAACATGCGCCATTCACGAATCAGGAATGAAGGGGAGTTCATAAAGTTCTAAAAATGAAGTTCGGGTTAATRATGTATTCACCTAAGGGCTACTAATTAATAATTTATTCATTCAAGTCCGACAATCTTTTATTGGTGCCTTTAGATGTAAGTGATTTGTCAGTGTTGATTAGGTTTGTTAGAATTAAGTGCATATAAGTTTCAAACTGGGCACTTTATTTCATTTTATTTCATTTATTTTTTTTGTGTGTGTGGAACGAAAACAAAAACCTAAASGAAGCTAGAGAGGAATTTATTTTTTTACAATTTCTTTTAAGATAGGACATTGAATTCCTAGATGTTCCAGAAACAAACGGGATTCAATTCAATTGAATTGATCGACTGCAATTTGTTGGGTGCAGCTGTGAATTTTAGATTAAACAGGCCTAAGAATAACACACCTTTGATGCACCTTCCAAAAATATAAATTACTAAAAGCAATTCATAATTGACATTCAAAAGAAAAAATACAATTTAAGAAAAGGAAAAAAAAAAACAAAAATAAAATTGTTAAGAAGAAAATAAAAGCAACAAATAAAAGGGAAAAAAGAAAGATGGAAAGTAAAAGAAAAAAATCCGAAACAAAATAAAAACATCAACTTAAACATCAAGATAAAAAGCATTTACAAGAAAAAATAAAATAAATACAAAAAGTAAGCAAAGAATGAAGAGAGATGCGTGAATAGACTCATTATCGAGTTCCAAATTACCGCTATCTTCCTTGATTACAGACTCATGTACTCAGGGACAGCCTCGTATTTGTGTCTAAATATTCACAAATACCAACGGTAAAGTAAAGAATGCACAACTTCAACAATACAAGCACTTCGAAATTCTACGGATCTTCGCTGGAACACATGAATATTCCGCACAAAATCGARGCTAAGTCTGAGCAACAGACTGGACTCGAAACTGGAGTATTTGAATCATTTTAATATATATATTTACTAAAGCTTTTATTATTTGTCTTTTAACTTGTTTAGAAATCACGTTTTATTTAAGTATGACGTTAGCATTTTATTTGTCAAGTGCATTTTTACGAATATAGTGTATCTTTGTTTTATCCGTTTSAAGAAAATGCGTGGAACTATGTTACTCTGTAGCCAATACTCTTGATATCAAAATGGGTGGAAAGTACTTTAGATATTTAGACTTCGATAGATAGGTTTAAAAATGTTAGACTTCATGATAATGACATACATCTCTACAAGAATATTCATTTTTTCATTAAGTAATTAGTAATAATTTTTGTTTAGATTTTTACATGAAGCAAGATCATTCTACGATTATAAATACGCTTGAAGTGCTTAAATTGTTCTACTTTAGTTAAGATTTAAAATAACTCGTTACAGAAGCCTTTCCGGTTTTACCAGTTATTTCCATTTGAAGAATGTTATACACTTGTTTCAATAAAGTTAGTCACCAAAAAACCTAGAAAGCTGAGATCACTGAGGATCATGGGAAGCTTTTAATATCAAACAAGTAAAGCTTTTGATACAATTTGCAGCTTGASGATGCTCAGAAGAGGTGAGACTGTAACTGGTAAAATATCTAAAATCCATCAACAGTTATCAAAGCGGTTGAAACATGTAAAATGTAACTACCYATGATCCTTGTTGGTCTCAGCTTTGTAGCTTTTCAGKTGACTAACTTTATTGAAATAAGTGTATGTAATGATGAATATTAAACTRCAGTCTATAGCCTTGTTTGGTCAACGACAATAAAATCCATCGACGATTTTCGTCGATTTTCCTTCCAAGTACCGTTTTCAAAATCAGCATTGAAATGTTTCTTTCTGATGTTATCATCGTGTATGTAGCCATTGTTAGTCCTTGCCTCGTTTTGTGAACGGTATGCTCCCCTGTGACTTAACGAGTACGCTGCCCGCATTTCGTCTCTCTCTATTTCATACCTAWTTGATATATATGCAGGTATGTGGTGACATTGCAATCAGATCTACGTAMGATGCACGTAAGGATAAAAGAAATGGTTTCAATGAAGGGAAGTGCGCCGACAACGCACACTCAATTGAAGTAATTCAGTAAACAGGCAGAGCAACGAAATCGCAAAACATTCCCTAAGTTCTGAAGTCATTGTAGGGCTATAGGATAAAACCAACTTTCTTTAGTTAGATATAGAAATGAATTTGATAAGAAAGCAAAGAGCCAAGTAAAGGTAAAAAAAAAAAATGAAACACAATTATTTTGCAATCGTGAGTAGTTGCTCCTTACCTTTTACGTAGAAGGCAAACGATACAAATAAAGATAATGATGATGATTAACAATAGGAGTGCTAGACCAATGGCAACTGCCAATTGTACGGGGAATGATGTTCCTTTTGTTTCGGGTACGTAAGGCTAAAGAAAAAGGAATGGAATCAGAAATGAAGATAAAATGATATATGAGCTGTTTTATAAAAATAAAGTTGAAAATACRACAAGAATTATGTAAGGCGTAAACGTAAGAAGTAGAAAAAAACAAACCTTTATCTCTTTGATTTTCCATTCATTGAAAAATGCCTTATTACTTGACAGCTTCTGATAGTTCTCATCTATTCTCCTGTTAGTAATWAAAAAAATCCACRAAATGGCAGCCACGAATAGAAAGATTTGCAAAGCAACTATGAATTACCTTATAACTTCATCCCTGTCGACAATCTTCTTAGTATTTGGGTCCACTGCATGGAAATATACAGCAGTCCTACAGATTGAAAATACATACGGATGACATCAACTGTTATCTGGTATGGTAAAAGGTCGTTGTCTTACCCAGATAAACAGTGGATGGGTAAGAATGGCATCAACTGTTATGGATGGCATCCGCTGTTTTCTGGTATGGAAAGGTCTTTACCTTACCAAGATAACAGTGGATGGGTAGGAATGGCATCCACTGTTATGGATGGCATCCATTGTTATCTGGTATGGTAAAAGGTCGTTGCCTTACCAAGATAACAGTGGATGGGTAAGAATGGCATCCACTGTTATGGATGACATACACTGTTATCTGGTCGTGAAAGGTCGTTGCCTTACCAAGATAACAGTGGATGGGTAGGAATGTCATCCACTGTTATGGATGGCATCCACTGTTATCTGGTATGGTAAAAGGTCGTTGTCTTACCAAGATAACAGTGGATGGGTAGGAAGGGCATCCACTGTTATGGATGGCAACCCTTATTATATGATAACACTATAAATGTATAAGAATACACTAACCTGCTGTAGTCGTATTTTCCATCTTCTTTATAGAAGTTAATATCATCAATGTTGATGATTAATCCAGTAATGTTTTGAAGCACCCTTAAAAACATCAAGTACATTTCAGTGCTCTTATTCTCAGGTTAACTAGAAATTAATGCTTTCCAAGACGAATTAAAAATGTAAAAAATCTGTTCTGTCGTTAGGTTTTAATTTTTCTTATTTTTTTGTATTTGGATGAGCGAGTGTTTGAGAATAAACTTTCTTTATTTYATGAAACTAACCGACGTTAAACCTATTGAGTTTGAGTTTGATATGTTGAACTTCATCATACGAGACACGATGTGGCGGCTCCCTGTTCCTCTGTTGCCGCAGTCGCAAACCCCTCTCTCCCTTCAGTATTTTATTAATTCGAGATTTTCCTACGCTACCTCTTCAAAAATTTCCCCCAAGTTAATCCAAGAATTAAAAACAAAATATATTTTACTAATAATCCATGTGTCTTTTATCGATACTGATCTTTCCCTTTACCTTATAAATTCATCTTTATTGTTTCTGACATCATCAGGACTTCTACCAGAAATGAGAACAGCGCGTTCATAGTCGACGAGTACGTAGATCTATTGAAGGAAGRGCAAGGAATGGCGTTAGTCTCATCATCGTCTTTCTCCTYATTATCGTGATGATTGTCATCATTGTCATCATCATCATGATCATGACAATGTTCATCTGATCATCGACATCATCGCCGCCAAGACCACCACTACAATGATCATCATGAAGATCTTCACAGCTATATCAGATCAACATCTTAATCTTATTCTGACATTATCCTAGTTATCTAGTATATTCACACACTGAACCTCTTGATATTCTTTCTTGCATAGTCTTCAAAAGACTGAAACTATTAGACTCTTAGCAAATGGTCTTAAG